CGGCGGGGGGGCTGGCTCCTTGCCTGCCTGCCTGAGAAACTGCTGGGCTGATATGTCTCCTGGCCAGAGCCTGCCTCTGTCACTGCATCCCAACCCTCTGCACCCCCATCCCCTGCCCTAGCTCCCAACCCAACCCCTGCACCCCAGTCCAATGCCTCCTTCACCCAAAGCTCCCTTCTGCCCCCGACCTCCATCCCAGACCCCGCACCTCTACCATTAACACCATGGAAGAGTGCGGCCCTCGATCACTTTCCAAATTCTTAGAGTGCCCCCCCTCCCATCAAAAATGATTGCCCCCGCCTGGTCTGCAGGCTCTGGCGTCCCACGGGCTCTGCTGCCCTGCCGGCCGGCCGTTCCCAGCCCTCTGTGCTGGGGCTCTCTAGTCCGGCAATGTCCGAGGTCCTGCTGGCCCGTGGATATGGCCAGACCAGAGTCCTGCACCACAGTGGTTCAGCCTGTAGTCCGGGGTCTAATGACCTGGCCTGGCTCGGGGGGACTACGCACGACCCGAGGCAGGAGAAGGCTGCAGCGCCGAGCGCACTAACAGTAACCTGCCCTACAACACGCTGGGCAGCAGGAACATGAACTGCCCCCCGGCCCAGTCCCACTGGGACCACACGGAAGGGACGAGCTGCATCTCTCAGCCACGACGGTGCTTTCCCTGGATCCCCTCCCCCTGCCGTGTGCTCACACAGACAGAGCAGCTACTGAGAGAGTCCCTGACCTCGTTTTCTGTGCACGCGCACGAACGAAGGGCACCGCCAACCAGAGAGGCTTACAGGAAAAGCAGCTACTCTGAAAAGTGCCAGCGGCCAGAGGGCTCTGTGGCTGCGGAGAGCACCCGGCCCGTGTTCCTGGTGAGCGCTCTCACGAAGGACTTGGGGGCAGCCAAAGGGATCATGCGTAAAGAAAAGGGGAAGTGCGCAGCCCTGGCCCTAGGAGACGCAGCCCAACGCTTGGGGCTTTAGGGCAGAACTGTACGAAGCACCCTGGAGAATCAAGCGGGTCGGGTCAGTGCGGGCTCAGCATTCGACAGCACAACTGCGGGGACCAGCTACTCTGCAACGGATGTTCCCATCGAAACCCTGAGCAACACCATCGGGGAGACAGCAGCTGCTCTGAATGTCTCTGCCGCTCGCCCTGCCACACAAGTCACTGCGGCTCTGCACCAGGCCAGGGCCGACGACCGGGGCACCTCTGGTACAGCCACATCAGCTCCAGCCCGTTAATCGCCACGCCGCAGGCAGACACCCAGCACTTCAGCAATTTCCCCCTCTCCCCTTCACGTCAGCCCATTCCCACCCAGCAGGACGCTGCCATTAGCCTGCACACACACAGCCCAAAGGCTGGCCATCAGTAAAGACAAGGGAACCCTCCCCACCTCACCTGCCCTGAGCTCAAAGCCATCACCCATCTGGAAGCGCTGACCCTCTCCTCTCCACGGCCGAGCTAGGCCAGTGATGGCCATCGGTGAGCCAGGAGAAAGAATACCAGGGCCTCCTTCAAAGGGGGGTGGGCCTCTGCCCCCCAGAGGACCTTGTGTGACGGCGCGTTGGGGTCCCCCGACTCCTGCACCCCCGTAGTGGCCGAACAGACTCCCCCAGCCAGTAGAACAGGGGGAGTTTATTGCTTCTCCAGGATACAGCACGGCACAGATGGAATCTGGTTCCAGGGCAGGCCTAGGATGCCTCAGCCCCCCTTGAGATGGGGGAGACTGGGCCCCTAAATCCCAGCCCCTTTCCCTAGGCTGCTTCCTCCATGATACCAGACCGAAACTAACTCTCTTCCAGCCCTGCCCCCAGCCAGGGGCGACATTCCCCCTTCCTTTGTTGCGCTCCCTGGGGGGTAGCTGGTCGGACAGGTTGAGAGACCCTTGCCTAGTGACTCATCCCGTCCTGCCGGGCCGTGGTACAGACAGTAGCCAGTGGGGGTCACCCCCAGCCCCAGCATAGCAACCAGCCAGGTACCCCCCCCCATACGTCACACCTGGCTACAGAAATCAATGCCTTTACCGCCCAGTCTGTGTAATGCACTAGGCTTCGCTGCAACTGCTACAAAGGAGCTGAAGCAACAAGCGGCATTTGCAACAGCAGCGCGAAGAATCGGCGAAGAATCCCAAGTCCTGCTCTCCTACTGGGCAAGACGCCTGGCACACGAGGACCGGGCTACTCCCAGACCGGCTCCTCTTCAGTCCCCCGACACAACCGCTTTTCACAGGGACTCTGTAGCTAGACACACCCGGTCCGGAACAGGACCCCCGCTGCAGCACCGCTTGTCTGAAAAGCCCCTCCACAGACGCATCTCGGGGGGACTGTGCTCGGCCAAAGAGTCTCCCTACAAAGCCGAACGCCGAGGACTTCGTCCAGGAGCAGCGTCCCACTTCAGGCCACAGCGCCTTTCTAGGATGCTAGGCAGGAGGGGCTGTCCGAACGAAGCCTTCGCTATGTGTGGCGCAGAGCGTGGGCACGGCAGGAGCCCTGGGAGTTTTCCCAGCACCCCGGGGAACCCCCAGGGGAGTAGTTAACTGTGCTGGGCGCATGGCTCCCCACGCTGCAGCCCGGTTACACGGGCACCTTCCAGTGCGCTGGGGGTGGCGAGTGGGTCTTCACCCCGAGCCCCAGAGGTGCCGAGCAGTCGTAGCCCACGACGGACACAGCACACCCCCTTCACCTTGGGCCCCACAGGGACAGAACCCAGAGCCCCCCTGGCCTGGAGACCACAGGGGCAGAGCCCTCTCTTCGCCCATTTGGGCTCTCTGCTGGGGGGCCCAGGGCTCCCCGTACAGAATTCAGCTGCCGACTTCACCACCGTGCTCCAGACAGCACGCCGCTTTCCAAAGCCCGGCTCGCCCCCGCTGTCTGCTCCTGGGCGGAGCACGCCCCCCGAAACGCCACGGCAGCCCTTGAGGCGCGGGAGCAGAGCACTGAGACGCGCTCACGTGCCCTGGCCCCTTAGCGCAGGATCCTGGAGAGCGCCAGGGCAAGAAGCCAGCTGCTCCCCCCCAGGCAGGAAAGGCAGTAACACCTTGAACCCCCAGGCAGCTGGAACAAGGCAACTCTGGTGCCCAGGCCCCGCTGGGGGGAAGGGCACCCTGGGCAGCCCTTGAGGCGCGGGAGCAGAGCACTGAGACGCGCTCACGTGCCCTGGCCCCTTAGCGCAGGATCCTGGAGAGCGCCAGGGCAAGAAGCCAGCTGCTCCCCCCCAGGCAGGAAAGGCAGTAACACCTTGAACCCCCAGGCAGCTGGAACAAGGCAACTCTGGTGCCCAGGCCCCGCTGGGGGGAAGGGCACCCTGGCGGACAGCTCCGCACCAGCCCTGCCTGGGGAGCAGAACCCCGCTGCCCTCCACACGGCGGGACAGGGCACCCCCGCCCTCCGGGGGGG